ATTTGATTGCTGGCTATCAGTATGATACCCTTTCTCCACTGTATCCACTTTTTGTTGCTGGTTAACATCCCCATTTTGTTGATGGCTACCATTGCTTAAGATATTGATCGTGGATGCATCATCAAATGGTTCCCACTGTCACTGATTTGTTTGCCCAACAGCATATTCCAGTGTTTGGTTAGCATGTCCCATTTGTATCCATTTGTCAGTTTATTAGGCAATGATGACGAATCCATGTGTTGCTGGTTCAATATCTAGTATTATTGGCCAATGTTTAAACAAGTTAGAGGTATTTAGGCGTAATCACAAAAAACATACTATGAGTCTATGAGTATCTATGAATCTACCAGTTCTACCCTACCCACAATTTCAAAATGCTGTAGGGGTTGGCACCATGTTATAATCCCATTGTTACCACGAGTGATGATGATTTAAGTCTATTCACCCAAAAGACAATGTGTTACCCTTGAATTACAAAAAGTTATGTCACACATAATCCTCCCAAAAAAATGTATAAAGTAGCCAAATTAAAACCTACTATATAGATGACCTCAGAGGAAGCTTAAACACGAACAAATAATGAGTTACTATCACATTCAATCTCAAAACGTATTTTTAAAATGTAAGTTCCGACCATGGATTACCATTGATACTAAATCTATATACTTCTTGGTCGCTCTATAGAAGCGTTATATCATGTTATATCATATTCCATGGAAATGCCATGGCCTTGTCGCTTGCTTGGCGCAGGCCTCGAATTGCAGGACGCACCGCAGCCCCTGGCCGTGGGCCTGGTGACAGCCACAGCGCCGCTGCCAGGCATGCCGAGCTATGCGCCAATGCCGCTGGACGGTGTGGACGAGGGGCTGAGAGGAGGGTTAGCTTAGTTCATAACTAGATTCACTATGGGTGGTATGTTGATTTTAAATGATTTAAACTAAAGATATAAATGAGAGAGAGAGAGATAGATGTACAGACACACATGTGTGTCTGTATGTATATATATATAGTATAATATATAATACATAACCAAGCTTAGATGGGTTCTGCCCAACCAACAAACATTAGTGCTTGTGGGTGCATCGCACTTCGTGTTTCATGACCACATTACTGTATAGATAGATGAGATGATAGTATAAATTATACCTTAGCTATATATGGGATATCCCCAGTGAGGGGTTACCAACCACTGACTGGGATGCTCACATGCAAGTCAATAGCTAAGTTGGCGTACAACTCATACAACTAGGCTTTTGTGGGCTATAGGTAATGGGGTTTATAAGAAAACTTAACCAACATGTGGGTGGTATATTATGCCCTGAATCAGATATAGCTATGCTATAGATGACGACCTGTATAAATTAATGCAAATTACAAGTAGGTGACTTAGCTATTAAACTTAAACACGGTAGTTTTCCATAGCTATGTTCGATCACCAGAGAGTATATTGGATGATGTGATGCTAGTATGTTCTTTGGATACCTCATGTACTTTGGCCAACCGTATGATGATGATGATGAAGATGATGATGGACATTTGTTGAAATGTCTTAAAATGTGAATATTTAAACGTGATGAGTCAGGCCCATTATGATCCAGGAAAAAGTGACTGTTAAAAGACACACTTGAGATCACTAATCGACATTAATATTTATCGAGATGTTTGTGGGAAGATCTAGAAATGGGGAATTTGAATGAATTTGAAGCATTTCCAGATGGCTTGGACTCCCAATTTCCGGAGGCAAAAGGTGGTGGGATGGGCAGCTGGGATTTGAGGTTACCTGGAATGTGGCCTCCGCCCTTGTGAAGCCTGAGATTTCTTGGCCGGAGACCATCATTGGCATGGGTTGAATGGCGAGATGTGTAATTTCCACAGAAGTGACACATGACATACGTATCATGACATAAAACAAGAATAGAGGACATGCAAGCTGAAAGCCGAAGAAATTGAGATTAGACCCTTTGAATCCCTTTGACATGTCAAAAGCTTACTTGTAGAGGGTTAGGCGGCCGACAGTGACTGCATTTCCATGGAATTCCTCTTCCGAAGGCGAATTGTGTTGGGTGAGCACTAAGCATCTATAAGCCATGGCAGTAGACCCAGTAGAGTAGACCAATACTTGAAAATCAACGAACATCTAATCTGCAAAAATTATCAGAAGTTAGCGTGTTGGGTTACCATGGGTATTCTACATTGCTCGCACGAATTCATGTTACCACTTTGGTTGTGGCTAAACGTCATCAGCTCCGAGCCACTCAAACATTTGAACCACCAGAAGTGCTGGAGTTCTTTGCTCTTGGGACTGCAGATGTTCAGTCACCTCTAGTACCACTAGATAAAACGTAGAACGCAAACGTGGCACTGTTACACTGTTACACTCCCATGTATGGCCCTTTGAATTGGGAAATTTTTATTAACCCATGAGTGCAGGGGTTATCCGACCATTTTCAAACTTACCCTGTGTTTCAAAATCCAACACCTAGACATTCTTCGAAGGGGATAGGAACATGAGATTTTCCAAAACATGCGCACAGGTCCAACAAAAAAATTCTTGACTAGCAGTTTTTCAGATGTCCAAACTTTTCATTGCACCTGGGACGCTTATAAGATCTTTTAAGTTTCAATGGACTACAGTTGATTACAATGACGGAAAGCCTGGCAGGCTCCCAGGCTGCTTCCCAGGCCCTTTCCCAAGTCTATACATCTCAGAATAATAGATGGGGGTGGTTAAAAATTGCGCCCGAAATTCACTGGTTTATCATCATCATAATCATCATGTTTTCCTCTAATGAATATAGGATAATATAATATTAATAATAATAGGTCAATGGTGGTGTACCTTGATGGCAAAGACTGCTCCAGCACTTCTGGTCCAGTAGGGTGGCGTCTAAGCTGTCGCCAAGTTAACCGTTGTTTTTTTTCAGCACGATTCACTCTCTGTTTGAGGCGTTAATTCCTAGTGGATGCCTGGCAGTGCAGTGGGCTGGCCAGGAATGATAGGAATGGCATGCACAGAGTGTGGGAAATATCCGGTAATGAATCGTGGCTGGTTGGAAAATCCCCACATATACATGATTTTCCCATTGAAACCTACATGTACATGGTGTACACCGGATTTCTTAGGCAGCCACGTTTGATTACCGGAAGCTAATAGGTTTTGATTTCAAATTGCTGAGTTTCCAGATGTCCCTCCCCTGCCACTAGAACCTCCCCCAGTTGCAGATAGCTGCGAACTTGAAGAAGTAGACGTGGGATGTTCCTTGCCTTGCCGTTGTGGATGGCCTGCTGTTGATCCTCTTTTGGAACACATATTGATTAGGGCCAAAGGGCCCGCGGTCCCTGATGCTTCTTGGGTTTGTTTCCCGGCCACATTTGAAATATGGGGCTCCACTAGAGACACGTGGAGAATGCTGTATAGTTCAACCTTCAGCACCGATATCCCTGACAAATCCATGCAAATCCCACAGTACAGCGTCTATATAAGCGAAGTTGAAACGTCAACCTGTTTCCGGCCCCCGAGAGGGTGAGAGAGAGGGAGAGAAGTTGGAAGGCTGGGAAGATCGTCACCAGTTGTTATTGTTTTTGTTGTTCGCTTGTTTAACCAAAACAACTGAAGAATACAGATGTGTGTCTTTTGCACTGCCTGGCACCACTAGCTGCCATGGGATGGAGTTGTGAAAGCAGCCGAACACGGAGAGGGGCCTAGCGCAGACGTGGCAATGAACAATCATCAGTTTGTGTGGCATTGATTTAGGGTTGAACAATGTTATGTTCCATGACTTTCACTTCTTGGATATCAAAAGCTAGTCTTTGGATGTGTCTGTATGGGACGCTTTGAATAAACCCTGAAGGTTACGACTGTGTCTTTGCCTTGAACAAAAATCCTGCGCCATGTCCCTTGAGTGACTCCTGCGCTCGTGCTGGCCTAATCCGGTCACTCTGAGAAAAGCGAGCTTTCCAGCAGTGGGCTTGCTGGCGGGATATGGCTGCAGCTCATTGGGCACCCTCCACTCACACAAGCCCCGAGAGTCGGGTTTTTGGTTTACAATTGTTTCCTTTACTTCAAGTGATCCGCACCGTGTCATTCTATTTGATATTCTTTCCGGCATTCTATCGGGCGTCTATTCTGACATACTTTCCGGCATTCTATTGCGAAATTCTTTTCTGTCATGCTTTCTGGCATTCTATTGTGAAATTCTTGCTGACATTCTTTCTGGCATTTTATTTGGCATCTATTCTGATATTCTGTTTGGCATTCTTTCTGGCATTCGGGTCCAGGCGTGCCCCACAGCGTCCGGAGCTGGCGATATGGTGCCCGGCGGTCACTCCACAGTGCAGAAAGAAGACGGGAGTGATGGCAGGGAGTGAAGGAAGGAGGAAGGAGGAAGGAAGGAAAGGAATGTAGGAAGGAAGTAAGGAAGGAAGGAGGAGTTGTACCTTTGTTAAAATCTAGAGACCCTCACCTGGCAGGTGGGGAAAAGTATGGTCTTTCAGCCCCTTATTTAGCAGGGTCTGAGTCTATGTTAGGTCGAAGGATGGGAAGTTCCTCTGTTGCTCCACCGCTACGCACGGAAGTGGAACATCATCGTGCGAAAGATGATCAGGGACTTTCCACTCCCGTGACTATGTAGGTGTCATATGGTATCATTTCTTTTGGAAAAGGCAATAGGGTTTGGATTCAGGAAAATCAGGTATTCTCCATGGGTATTATGTTTTTGGACGTTACTGTGTCCCAGGGTGATTGATCAGTTGGATGTATGAAACGATTCTTCCATGTTGTTTCTCCTGACTATTTGATGCTACTGTTGATAGCCCCACCACCAGTGGCATCCGTAAGGATAGAAACTGTAAAATCCTACTTAAATAGTATCAAATAATATCAAATAGTGATATCAGATATCTGATTCTAGAGCTGATATTTATATAATATATATATATATATATATTGAAACTGCCTTCTGGGAGGTCGCTGTATTCTTGGCTCCCTCAGAACCATCTAGGAGCTTCGCTGGCGTGTGACCTACTCCGGCAACTGCGCGGAGGGAGTGGCATCATGGCGGCACAACACACCTTGGTCAAATTTTCTAGACACACCTTGGTGGATAGTCGGTTCACGAGTAATTCTAACTAAAGGTCACGATATGTCACGATAGATATGTGAATTATAATGATTATAGCATATTATGGCATATTTTACTGTATATAATCATGCAATATCATACAGGTACAATTAATTATGATGGATATTGTTTGATATAACATTTGTTTGTGTGTATACATCCTACCCAAGCCAACAAGGCAAGGCACATGACAAGCTGGCCTCATTGACCTGGATCGATCCGAAAACCAGCTGGAAAGGAGAGCACAGCTTCTCTCTATCTCACTCTCTCTCTCTTCCTTAATATATATATATGTATACTGTGTATATGCGTATGTGTATACACATATATATAGTTGATATTTAATGATGTAACATTGCTGATTTGTAATGATTGATATTGATGTATGATGGATAAAAACCAAAAAAAACACACACTGATGATGGCTAGATCATCAACGGACTTCTGAATTCAGAGAGCTCCGTCGCAGCGTACTCGCTTCTGGGGACTGGAGGGAAATATATATATATAAATACAGTATATGTGTATATTACAATGCATGTGTTTTATATGGAAATGGTACATTCATTTCTGCAAATGGTATGATTTATGTTTATTGGTACAAAAATATGTTTATATATATATGTATATTAAAATATTTACATGTATCTACAGATGTCTATATACTTATTTATATTGTGGTGAGATCAATTTCTGCCGCGTCTTCCAGCCCCATTCCATCGTTGCCGATGAGGCAGCCATCGATCACCGCTGCGCGGTCCTCGCCGACTCGTCTGCGCGTGCCTTGAAAATCCGAAAGATGTGGAAAATATCTGGGGAAAACCCTTCGGGAAAGGATGTTTTTTCCACATCGATGTTAGTTTTCAGCCGGGTGTGATGAGTATGTGTATATATATATATTTACATATGATATATGTATGTGTGTTTTGTGTATGTCTATACATATGTACATAATCGTATTTATTTATATGCATATAAAAAAAGGGATGAAAAGACCCACTTATCCCAAGTTCCATGGATGAAGCGCCTCCAGGCGCGAATTTGGAATGGTGGATACATGTTGCAGTACACAAATTACATAAGGTGATCTGTATCACCCATTGCTATCTACATCATATGCTACTTCTTGTGTAATTACTTCTCATATATTCCGTGTTCCGCCGAAACCGGGGGCTTCGTGCAGTGCATGGATTGTTCGATGCCCCGTTTATATCCCATCGATATCCCATTATATCTCATGTATACCTCCTTCAGATACCATTTATATACTGTTATATACCGTTTATATCCCATTTAAATCCCATTTATGTACCATTAATTAACGGAACCTGGGGACAATTCGTTCAGCAAGTCGTTGCGCCAGGTGATTGGGTGGACCTGGTGCTAGCATCCATGAGGGAAGGTGCACGCTCGGTGTCTGGGTGCACCTGGTACCGGGGATTTCACCCTATGGACCGACATGAATGCTGGGATTTTCAATGATTTACCCGTGGCTTATTGAAGAAACAATTATGGAAACCATGGCCCACGCATGATGTATGATGTATGATGATTTACCTATTATAGAACAGCTATGGTTTTTCCATAGTTGCATTAAATTACCAGAGGTATAACTTACAATGACTTACAACTAACTCCCCAGAAACTGACTGCCAACAACAGATGGTTCAGCAGATACCCAGGTCTTGCTGAAGGCTGCAGATGCGGTCTCACCACCCAACAAGGCGTGGATGGTGGAACTAAGACGAGGGCGTTTCTACAAAGGCTGCCATCTACCCAATTAGGACCACTCAGATTTTGACCTGTGTCATGTGAGTCATGAGTCATGTTGATTAAACAATTTTGCTGGTTCGTGGTTTGGAACATTTTTTATTTTTCCATATATTGGGAATATATAATAATAATAATCCCAACTGACTAATGTTTTTCAGAGGGGTTGAAACCACCAACCAGTTTGTTATGTGGTCGATCATTTTGAAAACTCCTATGGTTTGTTCGGAAAACGGACTTATATATTTTCAGGAAGCTGTTTTTTTTACAGAACAGGCCACTGTGGGAGTGCGCAAATTGCAGCATTTCCTGTGCAAAGATCCAACAGCATATGGCGCAACCGGACAAAATTGAATTCCATTCCTCTCTGCTGTTCATTGGCTGAATGCACTATGTCATAGCAAACATTGCTGTACTGTAGTGTATCGACCTTGCTTCTAGTGCAACCACTGACAGTGCCTGGCAATCTCTGCTTGGCACATCTGCAATGGCTATCCAAACCAAAAAACCAAAAAACAAAAAACAAAAAACCAAAAAACAAAAAACCAAAAAACAAGAAACCAAAAACACAAAAAAACAAAAAACCAAAAAAAACAAAAAACCAAAAAAACAAAAAACCAAAAAAACAAAAAACCAAAAAAAACAAAAAAAACAAAAAGACAAGACCCAACACTCTGCATCTGACCCCCTCCCCTTGGGGTGTGCAATCTTGGTTTTTTTTGGTTTTTTGGTTTCTTGGTTTTTTGTTTTTTTGGTTTTTCCATGGTTTTTTGCAGTTTGGCCAAAACCTCGAGAACAAAAAAAAAAACAAAAAAAACAAAAAGTTCAGACCCATGGGCAAGGCCTGTGCTATCCACACACAAACCAAAAAACCAAAAAACCAAGAAACCAAAAAACCAAAAAAACAAAAAAAACAAGATTACACACCCCAAGGGGAGGGGGTCAGATGCAGAGTGTTGGGTCTTGTCTTTTTGTTTTTTTTGTTTTTTTTTGTTTTTTCGTTTTTTTGTTTTTTTGGTTTTTTGTTTTTTTTGGTTTTTTGGTTTTTTGGTTTGTGTGTGGATAGCCCAGACCTTGCCCATGGGTCTGATTTTTTTTTTTGTGTTCTTGAGGTTTTGGCCAAACTGCAAAAAACCATGGAAAAACCAAAAAAAAAAAAAAAAGAAAAAAGTTCAGACCCATGTCCCCTGCCAGGCCTCTCCCCAGACCTTGCCCATGGGTCTGAACTTTTTTTTTGTTTTTTCCATTGTTGTTTTGAATGTTTTTCATGTGAAGATGCTTTCATCACAGTACCTCTCAAAAAAATGCGCGTCTCTACAATTTGCACACCTGCGCCCCCCAGGCCAAACTGCAAAAAAATCAATGGAAAAACCAAAATTCATTTAATGACTTATATAATGACTAATAAAATGATTAATATAATGATTAATGTAATGACTTTTTTTCATGAATATAATGACTAATATAATGATTAATTTAATGATCAATATAATGATTCATAAAATGATCAACATCATGATTATTATAATGATTAATAAAATGATTAATTTAATGATTATTAAAATGAAGAGTTTAATGATTAATATCATGATTATTATCATGATTCATATAATGATTAATGTAATGGTTCATATAATGCCTAATGCAATGACTAAAATAATTAATATAATGATTCATATAATGATAAATATAATGATTCATTTCATGATTCATTTAATGACGTTTATAATGACTAATATAATGATTAACAAAATGATTAATGTAATGATTTATGTAATGGCTGAAATAATAATTCATTCATTGACTAACATAATGATTAATATCATGATTCATAGAATGATAAATATAATGATTAATATAATGGTTCATTTAATGATAGATAGAATTATTCATTGCATGATTCATGTAATGACTTTTATAATGACTAGTATCATGATTATATTTAAAGAATGATTAATATAATGATTACTATTATGATGAATACAATGATTAATATCATGAGCAAAATACTGACTAATTTAATGAATTTATATATAATGAGTAATGTAATGATTAATAAAATGATTAATAAAATGATTAATATAATGATTCATTTAATAACTAATATAATGATAAATGCAATGGCTAATATAATGAATGTTATAGTGATTAGTATAATGATTGATTTAATGATTAATATATTAATTAATATAATGATTGAACCATCATATAATGACTAATAAAATGATCAATATAATGATTCATAAAATGATCAACATCATGATTATTATAATGATTAATTTAATGATTAATTTAATAATTATTAAAATGAAGATTTTAATGATTAATATCATGATTATTATCATGATTCATATAATGATTAATGTAATGGTTCATATAATGCCTAATGCAATGACTAATATAATTAATATAATGATTAATATAATGATTCATATAATGATAGATATAATGATTCATTTCATGATTCATTTAATGACTTTTATAATGACTTTTATAATGACAAAGATAATGATTAATATAATGATTTTTGTAATGGCTGATATACTTGATAATTTATTGACTAATATAGTGATTAATATAATGATATATATAATGACTAATATAATGATTAATAAAATGATTAATATAATGAATTATTTAATAACTGATATAATGATGATTCATTTAATGATTCATTTAATGATTAATTTAATGATTCATATAATCATAAATATAATGATTCATATAATGATAAAAATAATGACTTATATAATGACTAATATAATGACTAATATAATGACTAATATAGTGATTAATGTAATGACTGCATGGAAAAAAGTGCACTCCCACAGCGGCCAGCTCTCTTTTTTTAAGAGTAATTACAAGCGGGCTCCGTTTTTTTTGGTAAGTGTACTGAGACTTAAGTTGTAGTGAAGGTCGCTTCTGGCAAGGGAAACCTGCGGCAAGAATTTAAGCAAATCTTTGGGGATATCGGCTTAATTTGTGGTTTTAATTCGGTGCATCCACTCCTAACCCTTTTTCATATTGTTGTGGTGCAATTGGTTCCACCCAAATCCAGTTGTGCCATAAGCCCAGAATGGTGATCTTACATAAACCCCTGATAGTCCTTGGAATGCCTGGGATATCTCAATCACCCGCGGGGCCGTAGTTTTAGGATGTTTTAGGTACCCGCGGGCAATCACACCCGGCTGGAAAATCACCAGCAAATATTACAAATGTGTACAGTATACAATAAAAGTTGATACATGTTTAATGCCATACATATATATATATATATGCCCATATATATATATATACATATATATATGCATATATATATATGTGCATAGCATGGTATCCATTAGACATGTTTGATATCATTTTGTAAATCTCCACATTCAGCTTTTTTTGTGACATCAACCTGAGACATATTTGAGATCATTCGAAATATGTTTGAAAGAAAAACAACAAGATTCATCGATTTTCTCAACCCAGAGATTCATATGAACATATATAACCAGTACTGTATCATTTATGACATGTTTTCATCCTTTTCCCTTATTAAACATGACCTGAATGACTTCAGCTTTCCACAGGAGGAGTTGGATCAATTGGGTTTGCGTGAAGCCATGCTGTTTGCCAAACCCATCCGCGACATGGGGGAGAGGCAACGGGGAGAATCATGGGAGGAACTGACAGAGAGTGTTTTTTTTGTTGCAACCTGTGGTGAACGTTTGCATAGATGTGGATAATCCACCATGAACCTAGATTCCTAGATCATGTTGTTTGAACGCAAAAATCATGTTTTTTTTCACATCGTTTTGTATGTTTACCTTGTTTGGTAACGCTGAACATACATAGAACTCATAGAACACAGCAACATACTTTAACATAGTAGTTTTCGAGATGGTATTCCTGGCAATCAAGAATTTTGAAAAAGTGTTTGCAGGATGTTTTATGTATAGATGATGTGTTCAACGTATTTTCCAGTGTTTTTTTGCTTTTGCATTGATGGTATTGAGATCGTATCCCCAAGTTTCCAACTGTTCTATCTATTTTTGTGTTGCGGTGGATACACGGTGGATACGTATATAATTATATATAATATGTTTATCTTTACACACATACATGTATATGCATTTCTTTATTTAAAGTATACACACGTAGTTAATATTTTTTTATATCGTAGAATCGAGATGGGAAACAACATGGTTAATTGAAGTAACTAGAAGAAAACGAGTCCATAAGTTGATATGCCACTGCAGCGTGTAGTGGGGTCACCTGATAAAAACTCCCGGGCGTCTGCCATCGACAGGTATATGCAAGAAGTGCTGCAGTCCAAACCCTTCCTGGCTGTCCACTGTCGCAGCACCTTAGCCCAGATTCTGCGTCGGGACAAAAAGGATGGGAAAAAAAACATGGCACGTTGACCCTTGAAAGATCATGAAAGATACTGGTTCAAGGATGAAGTTGTTTTTTCCTTCAGGTGATGAGCAGATTATTTGAACTGGAGAGTCTACTCAATATGAAATTACAATATACATTGAGATAGGACATATGTGTATATATATATATATGCATTTGTGTGTAACCCATGATGATATATGACACACATTACCCAATATTTTTCCTTTCTTGGTTTGTAAAAAGAAACCTCGGAAAAATGTTTAACGGCAAACTTTGTAGTCTCCCATTGGTTTCACATTCTTCTTACTCTCTGAAAAATATATGGTTCATGGCCAAGAGAGTCCACATCTTGAGGTAAAGCTGCAGCTCACCATCAATATTGCGCTTAGAAGTCTGTAGATTTCCCAGATATCAACCATCATTAACCATCACTAACCATCATTAACATTCATTAACCATCATTAACCATCATTAACCACCATTAATCACCATTAATCACCATAGATTTCCTGCCCAAACTCCGCTCTCAGCGGCTCCGAGCTCCGAGGAACGGACTTCCTCCGAGCGCGCGAGGCGACGACGCCCTCGGTGGAGGCGGTGGCGGAGCAGTTGGAATTGGCCTTGGCAGATTTCGGGCTCCAGCAGGTGGGCTCCGGTGTCATGTGGGTGTATAGTGGTTAAAACAATGCCATGATGGTCGGGTTATTATGGGTTATTATGTGGTTAGAACTTAAAACAGTGCCATAAATAAACCATCCATGACTGGGAATGGTAAAGATACCACCCATAAAAATGGTGGGAGGCATGGTTTATGGCATTGTTTTAACCACATTAAAAGAATGCCACCACCCATGACTGGGACTGGTAACCATATATACCACCTATGGCGATGACTGGGGGATGGTAAACATTGCATTGGTTTATCCACATGAATCAGTGTGTTGCAGAGATGTTTGCACAGCTGTTGAAATGTCTAAGGATGACGTACGATGTAATATATGACTGTAGAACTTTAACGTCCTTCAGTGTCTTGATGTGTAGCTGAAACTAAAATTTACAATATATGTGAGCAGGTGATTTCGAGATGGGGCATGCAATTAAACGAAATGGTTTGAACATGGGAACCAAACATCGCCCATTACCATGCAGAATGGTTTATCTATATCTATATATATATATATATACATACACATATTAATGTAATTATATATATAACTTGCATGATATATATATATATGTGTATATATATATATGTATTTGTAGATGTGTATATGTATGTGTGTCTATTGATATGTATATATTGATTTGATAAATGGGATTATATTATTGACATGGCATGTCATAGGGATATATTATATAGGTGTGATGAGAATTGCGTGGATGCGGCATATATGATGACAGATGAGAGAGGAAATCGTTGGAACATGGGGCTCTGGATCGCAGCTGACTTTCATATTTTGTCAAGCGGCTGAAACTACCAAGTATAGTGATGATATTGACCCAACTCGACCCAACTCGACCCAACTCGACATAGATTGTGGTGACCTACCCTATGATGTCACCCAAGAGATCTCGTAGATCAGTGGCATGCTGCAGGTCTACATTGCCACCGATGCCCCAGACGACCTCCGAGAGGTTCTCCGATCTCAAGTGCGGACAGGCTCCATGGACAAGAGTGCTGGTCATAACTACCGTCCCCCCATAAGCATTTTAATGTTTGTCAAGTCTTGAACAATTCAATTCTATCCTTCACGGAGGCAACAAATCCAGCATGCCAATTCACTTATTCTTATGGAGTTCAGGTTGAAATTCACCACCAGAAATAGAATCTACCCTCTGGTTGTTCAACATAGCTATGGAAAATGGCCCATTTACATATGTTTTTCCATTAGCACATCTATTTATCATGGATTTTCCATAGCTATGTTAAATAACCAGATGGTGTAGAATATTCTACATATAAAAATATAGAAGTCCAAACCGTCCATGATATCTTCCATAATTTGAATCATCCGACATCATCCAAGCTGAACGGCTTCAGAGGCCGCATTTTCTTCCTGGAGGATCTCAATGACTTGGGAGCAGCTGAGACCAGCATAGCTTGCCAGGTGGGTGAGGCTGCAAACCCAATGGCGTTTTCAACCATACTTGGGATGATGTTTGATTGGTTGAGATGATTCATATTTTGGGGTTGGTTTGCAAGCAACCCCTATCTTTGGGGGCAAAAAACATGTTGTGATTGTTTCCGCCGATCCATTAAATGTTTAGTTTTTGTAAGTTGTGTCATCATTTGGGGTCCGTACAAACCGGCCGTTGTTCACCCATTTTGGTGAATGATATAAAGGGCACCGGATCATTTTTCTGGCAAAATCAATTGCAGTAAATTGAGATCATTTATTGCAGTACAAGTAACACACAACATGTTCACACATTTTCTGAGAGCTATCCTTGGTTATCCAACATAGCTAAGGATTTTCATTGTAGGATGGATGACCATAAACCATAACATTTTTTTGCCCATGGCACATATGATTTATACTCCAGTAAATTGACAGTTCGACCCTGGCAGATAGGGGTTGGAAGATATTCGAATTCACTAAAATTGCTTATTTTCAGGGTCAAACAGTTAATTTACCAGAGGGTATTAATAGTTAATATTGTTATCACTGATTAATCACAATGATGATGCTTGATCAATAACGGACTGCATTTTAGGACCCTGCGTCTTATGATGTTTTAGGCATTCTCCACTCGGTTAAGCTGGTGGTGTTTCGCCCTTTTGTTTTTCCTTCGCTTTCTCACTGCTAGAGGGAAGTTCTGCGCATGCTGTGGCAGTTGGGTTGCCCTGGTGCGTCAGTGTGTCAGCTGGCTTGTTTTTCTTGGCAGCTTTGCCGGCTGGCCTCGACAATCCGCGGCCCCCTTCTGTTCTCAGTTTCCATGCTCCTCCGTTTCAGTCCACTGCCTTTTGAGAGAATTCAGCCCAAGAGATAATGATGGTTGAATACTGGCTATTGATGGGTTTTTACTTTTTACCCAGCCCAATCATCTAAGCCTTGCCTACGGAGCCGAGGCAGATTCTCGTGTCTCGGTAACTGGTGACCGGCAAGTTTCAACATGGGTACGAGGTGGTGCCCCATACTGAGCTAAGTTGGTTCAGAACTAATTGTGTCTTTATGGTCATGCATTCCCATGTTTGCTGGTTACAGAGTGTAACAGCATTGCGGCTAACCCATGTGTTGGTCGAAACCTGAATTGTTCAGTTCAGCGTGGAAATGAAACCTCGAATTTGCTCATCACATTTTCATTCCATTCAATGACAAGCTCTGCACAAAGATTGTCTTAGTATGTCTTATTAAGCCCTCCAGCTTGTGGCACATCAAGGGTTGCTGAGGACATGTTCCAGCAATGCCAGGGCAAGGAATCAGTGGAGTGACAACCATCCAACATGTTGATCATGTTGGTTTTGGAGTGGCTTCGATCTTTCCCAGAAACATTGCAGACATTACAGGCCTAAAAGATGGCTGGTTCTGGATAGACCAGATCCTTTAAGAACAGGTTCTGGTCTATCCTGGAGATGGCTGCTCAGGTTTGGAGGGTGAGCTTGCGGCCATCGAGACGCTCGACAGCTCGACAGATGGGGGAGTTCCCCAAAAAAATCGCGGAGCACCCGGGGTTTGGTTGGCCTAAAACCAAACCAAAGATACAAATGGCACCGTTCATCCTTGGATTTAGGTGCCGAAGTTCATCTTGAAACCTGGATGCTCAAAGAATTTATAAATGTGCACAGTTGCGTTGTCATAGCCTTCTGTGGTCTTTTGTCCCGGAACATGTTGGAGTTGGAGGTTGTTCATTAGATATAATATATATATATATATATTATGTTAACTATATACATATACATATGCATATATATATATATTACCTATATATATATATATTTATATGTATGTATGTGTGTGATCTTTCATGATGAAATTGACTGCTACGTTGGATGGTAACCAATCATGGATTTAGGGGTATTGATTTTTCAGACAAACCCATATAGGGATTGTCGGATTTCTTAAGTGATTGTTAAAAGGCTGTTGAACTAGGATCTATCACTAATTTATACTAATTTGTTCTCAGGGTTTCAACGGTTGCGATTTGCAATATGATGTTAGGAAAGGCAACCCTACTAAGGGCTCCTGCAGTTTTTGCAGAACTACATCGACCACTGAAAGGTCTGAGGGAAACATGAAACATAAACATTGATCCTCGGAAATCCCATAAACTGCCTAATCATCATGTTTTACATGGGAAACAATAGATCAGTTAAAAAAAACTTTATTGGGGGGTGTACCCCACTGTCAGACACACTCGCAAACATCATATGTTGTCGGAATGATGTGGCCCATGAATATCATTATAATATTGCCATATACCTATTATATCTCCAATTCCCCCATTCATAATACCCATCAGCCCATCAGCAACATTTATGGACAGGGCGGGGGGACATGGTAAACAGTTCCAATACATGGTTAGTTTTAAAATTATAAGAATCTTAGTCAGCCAGGGAATGGAAAACCCAAAAAAGATATTTTGTCGTTGGAACCTTCCTATATTCATCGTTTGATTTATCCTGGGATTTATCCTCTGTTTTTTGCCTTCCTAAATTCATCATTGGATTTATCCTGGGATTTATCACCTGCGTTTTGGATTCCTAACTTCATCTTTGGATTTATCCTGGGATTTATCCTCTACTGTTTGCCATCCTAAATTCATCCTAGAATCCGTCCTAGGATTTCTTCCAGGGCTGTTGCCCCTGCCGCCGACCCCAGGAAACCAGGGATACGTAAAGGCATGGCATAGATAGACAGTCCATCAAAACATCTACAGCGAGGTCTAATCAAACCTAATCTATTCGAAGTTTTTTTTTTGCAAGCCTACATTTAACATAGTAACCTTCCTGAATCCATCCTGGGATTTGTCATTGTTTTTTGCCAAAGGTTTCTGTTTGCTCTCCTATAAGTCGCGGGTCTTAATCTCGATGTCATCTTGGTCCAAAGAAGCTAGTTTAATCTCTATGTCATTTGAGTAAACTCAGCGACAATATCTATGTCACATCATGCCCCTCCAATTCCAGCGGAGAGTATCCGATAAACTCATAAACCCATGTTCCAAAAGGATTCAAGCCACATGGATGGCTGACTTTTTGATTAGCTAGGGTGATTTGTGGACACTTGTAGGATTAGGGTGGTATCTAGGATGATTTTGGGTAGCCTTTCTGGGACATGTTGAGAAAATGATGATTTCTAGGATGATTCCGGGTGACTTTTCTGGGACATGCTGAAAAATGATGCTTTCTACGATGATTTTGGGTAGCATTCCTGGGAATCGTTGAAAACATGATGATTTCCACGATGATTTCGACGATGATTTTTCGATGATTTTGGGACAGCTTTCAAACGATAAAAAAATGATAAAACTGCGGGAAATTATCATTTTTTTATCGTTTGAATCATCGTTTAAATCATCGTTCTTGGGATGTTCCCTTCGTTTTCCTCAAAAATGCTCCAAAATGGAGAGAATGATGATTTCGACGATGATTTTTCGATGATTTTGGGACAGCTTTCAAACGATAAAAAAAATGATAAAACTGCGGGAAATTATCATTTTTTATCGTTTGAATCATCGTTTATATCATCGTTCTTGGGATGTTCCCTTCGTTTTCCTCAAAAATGCTTCAAAATGAAGAAAATGATGATTTCGACGATGATTTTTCGATGATTTTGGGACAGCTTTCAAACGATAAAAAAATGATAAAACTGCGGGAAATTATCACTTTTTTATCGTTTGAATCATCGTTTAAATCATCGTTCTTGGGATGTTCCCTTCGTTTTCCTCAAAAATGCTCCAAAATGGAGAAAATGATGATTTCGACTATGATTTTTCGATGATTTTGGGACAGCTTTCAAACGATACAAAAATGATAAAACTGCGGGAAATTATCATTTTTTTATCGTTTGAATCATCGTTTATATCATCGTTCTTGGGATGTTCCCTTCGTTTTCCTCAAAAATGCTCCAAAATGGAGAAAATGATGATTTCGACGATTATTTTTCGATGATTTTGGGGTTGCTTTCAAACAATAAAAAATGATAAAACTGCGGGAAATTATCATTTTTTTATCGTTTGAATCATCGTTGAAATCATCGTTCTTGGGATGTTCCCTTCGTTTCCTCAAAAATGCTCCAAAATGGAGAAAATGATGATTTCGACGATGATTTTTCGATGATTTTGGGACAGCTTTCAAACGATAAAAAAAATGATAAAACTGCGGGAAATTATAATTTTTTTATCGTTTGAATCATCGTTTAAATCATCGTTCTTGGGATGTTCCCTTCGTTTTCCTCAAAAATGCTCCAAAATGAAGAAAATGATGATTTCAACGATGATTTTTCGATGATTTTGGGACAGCTTTCAAACGATAAAAAAATGATAAAACTGCGGGAAATTATCACTTTTTTACCGTTTGAATCATCGTTTAAATCATCGTTCTTGGGATGTTCCCTTCGTTTTCCTCAAAAATGCTCCAAAATGGAGAAAATGATGATTTCGACTATGATTTTTCGATGATTTTGGGACAGCTTTCAAACGATAAAAAAATGATAAAACTGCGGGAAATTATCATTTTTTTATCGTTTAAATCATCGTTCTTGGGATGTTCCCTTCGTTTTCCTCAAAAATGCTCCAAAATGGAGAAAATGATGATTTCGACGATGATTTTTCGATGATTTTGGGACAGCTTTCAAACGATAAAAAAATGATAAAACTGCGGGAAATTATCATTTTTTTATCGTTTGAATCATCGTTTAAATCATCGTTCTTTGGATGCTCCCTTCGTTTTCCTCAAAAATGCTCCAAAATGGAGAGAATGATGATTTCGACGATGATTTTTCGATGATTTTGGGACAGCTTTCAAACGATAAAAAAAATGATAAAACTGCGGGAAATTATCATTTTTTTATGGTTTGAATCATCGTTTAAATCATCGTTTTTGGGATGTTCCCTTCGTTTTCCTTAAAAATGCTTCAAAATGATTGAAAAAGTGGCAAGCCACTGGAAATGTGGAGAAAATAATGATTTCTACGATGATTTAAAATATGATTATTTTTGTGATTTTGGAAACTTCTCTGCGGGGCGCCAATATAAAACAAATAAGCAAAAACAATGGATACATCAATGAACTGTTTGAAAACCAAATGAAAACAATGAAAACTTTACAGTAAATTAAGACAAATTAAGTTTTAGCAAGGGGACAAACACAAAAACAAAACGCATAGCTACTTTGCGTCGAGCGATCCCCAAATTGACACTCCTCTACAGCCATCCATGACCTGGGACAGTAAGCGCAGGCAAATAAAGCCAGTTGATGGTTTGATATGGTTTAATAGATTTCATTATGATATATATATATATATCTATATCTATATCTATACGTATATATAGCCCACATCAAAGAAACGACACTTAAAGGGTAAGATCAAGTGGAGAAGACAGGAGAGGAAGTGCAGTAGCAAAGAAAGTCAAGAAAAGAAAAGACGACGTGATAGAAACACAGAGGATAAAAACCTTTGACAATCCATACAAAGAAAAAAATCAACAAAATAACCCTGTCAAATGTTAAAAGAGAGGCTGGTTAGACGAAGAAACAAAAGATAATCAAAAAGATAACCATTTCAGATGATAAAAGAGAGGATGATTTATATGATGTTTTGTTTGAAGATCTTGGGATAAAAAATGATAAAAATATCTTTTTTTCATACCTCAGTCTGTGGCTATGAGATTCTTATAATTTTAAAACACGTGCCTATTATATAATTATATATATGTGTGTGTGATATATATATGCGTGTGTGTGTGTGTGTGCACTTGTATGCCATGTGTAGATGACCTGCCTATATTTTCCATAATATTGCAGCAATATGGTCCAAATACCCATCAGCCTGTGATGCCAAACCTCTCCTGACCCCAGGATGTGGATTGCTGCCAGGGCCACAGCCTTCATTGGAACGCAGGACGGCGGGGGCATGTGGATAGGGAGAAACAGGCCCTTCTAAAAGCACAATAGGGGTTCAAGCCGAACATTTGAGCGCAGCATCCCAAACTCTTTTAAAGTCAAGTAAGGTGCCATAATTTTTGCCCAGTTAACGTGTCTAGTATTGGTGCACTTGGGGTGACTCCGGTCACAGGAGTCTCGCTTTACCATGCACATCCAGACCGAGCGTAGTTGGCTGGGAAAGAGCGTTGAGACATCCAATCGTGAGTCGCGTGGCAAGGAGTATACTGTACTGCCATTGAAATCCTACAAATATTGACTTAGGATTCAAAACAGCAATTGGTTCAGCAAGCGTCTGGAAACAATCCTCTGAATTGCGATAAACTCTCAGCCAGGGAACCATAGAAGTCGAGTGAAGTCGAGCTATAGTTACGGACTGAAACTTAGAATGCCGCACCCCTTCAGGTCGCGCTGTCCTAAAGAATGCCGCCGCGGGGGCAAAATCTTAAAAAACCCTGGTAAAATGCAATTTTCGGGTACCTGTAATTTGACCTGGTCTTTTTGTAATGAGTCGTTCGTAGGTAAATTTTGTGAGAATTTACAGCGTAATATGAGATTGAGTGCCACACATAGAATGCCTCCGGCCAAAAAGTCCAGGTCACAGCATGTCAAACATTTGAAGCCCATATTTTCAAAATACTCGGTATACGTGGGGTTTTATGTACTTTGTGCAGCCCACATAGAATGCCGCCAAAAACATATACAAATGTCATCATTCTGTTGCAAAATCTCTGTTTTTTTTGTGAAACACATGGTTTGAAGGATTGTATAAATTTACTATTTCATATGAATAATTGTACATAAATCCAATCTCATGGGAGGTATCCTTTC